AGGGGCTCCTCAGCACATCCCAGAGCAGTTACATGCCAGGGTCAGCGCTGGTGGCACAGCACTGCTGTGGCAAAGTCCCCTTCATTCCAGGGTGCCTGGACCCCTGACCTCCCCAACAGATCCCCAGGCCCAACAGGAGCATGGCACTTTTTTGGCCGGTGCGGCTCCTGCGTGGCCCAGGAATGATCTCCCAGGGTTATTTCTGACTCACAGGACAGGAAACGTTTTGGGGTTTAAGCTGAGCTGAATAATGTGCTCATTTCCTTGTGCCAACTACAAAGCACCTGCTCCAGGGGATTTATGGAGTGCCGGCCTCTCGCACTCACTGCGCGGCTGCCCGCCCGGATGTTTTTATTTTCCCAGGATGGCCAGCAAGTGCCAAGGCTTGTTTTCCTAAACACCTCACACGCTCCTGGCATGTTTCCTTGAGGGGAGCCCAGGCAGAGGCATGGGCTGCAGCACACCTAGGGTGCTGCTGTGCCAGGGGTGTTGGTGTGCCAGATTGTGTACCAGCACCCTACTGGGGCTGAGGGCACTGGGGATGCATGGCTGACAGATGGGACAAACAGCCCAGGAGACTGCCAAAGGGTGATGAAGGGATGGAGCATGGGGAGCAAGGGAGGGTGAGACCATGCGAGAGAGGGCAAGAGGGCAAGTGAGCCTGAGGGAGACACAGCTTGGGGCTGCCCGGACCACAGATCTCTGCCTGCCGCCAGCTGCAGGGTGGTGGGCAGAGCCCATCCCATGGCTGGGGACCCTCAGACCCCATCCCCACAGCAGACCCCATTCCATGGCTGGGGACCCTCACACACCATCCATCCCAGGCTTGGAGAGCCCCTGCAAAACACTGCGCCCAACTCAGGGAGTGGAAACTGCTTTCCCCTGTGAGGAGGGTCAGGGTGTGGGTGCCGAGGCCAGGGACACCCGTGGGAGACGCAGGGCATGCCAGCATGCCTCCCAGCCCATGCTCCTCCAGTGGGAGCGAGCTCCATCCGGTGGGCCGCCAGCTTGCACTGTAAGGGGACATCAAGGTTTTCAGCATGTTCCCTCTGCTTTGTCCCCTTTTTGGAGCAACAGTCTCTTTGCTTTAGTCCTGGTGGGGTCGGCTCTGATCCCACGTGTACTTCCAGCCTCCAGGAGCTATCCCATCCGGCTTACCAGCTGCAGGATGAAGGATGGAGTGAGCCAGTTATCACTCTCTGGGTAGACCTCTGTCCCCTCCTGTCCCCCTTCTTGCCTCCTGGTTGCTCAGCTCTCTCTGACCACCACTGCTCACCTCTCCATGGGGCTTAGCCATTCTGGTGGGTGGTGAGCATTCAAGTGATCAGACGTAGCTCAGAGCTGGCATCTACCTGCATGCTGCCTGCACCCCGCCTGCACACTGTCCTGGTGCCCTGGAGGCTCTGGGGCTTGAAGCACCTTCAAGGTGATGGGCGAGGAGAGGTGTGCACACCCCACAGCCACCCCAAGGCCTGAGGCAGTGCTGGGGCAGCTCGTCCCAGTGTTAGGGGTTGGGTTTGGGTTTTTTTGGCTGTTTAGAGAGAAAATAAAGCACTTCTGGGGAGCAGGAGCCAAGCTCCCCAGTGCCTAAAACAGCAATCGCAGCACTTCCTCGGATTTATGGTGTTTGCTTTCACAATGCCAGCCGGGATCCTGTTTGCTTCCTGCTCTGCAGCTGCAGTCCCAGCTGAAGGCTCAGGAGATTCAGGTTTTATAACACTCCTGGATCCTGCCGATGGCAACTTGTCCAGCATCATTTATTACCCCTGTGCCTCCTGCGGGGCTGGGGTGGGCTGTTGTCGGCCCATCCCAGCACCCAGCAGCTTGGGTGCTCACCCCTGCCCATCCACAGTGTCCCATCTGGCACCAGGGGCTTGAACAGCAGCTCTGCAGAGGGAGCACCTAACCTCTGCTGGGAGAGGAAGCCAGCAATGCTGTGCCCTCGGTGGGGTGCAGCATCCAGCTCTTCTTAGGCACAGCTACAATCCGAGAGCCAGCCCAGAGAGGAGCAGCTGGGTCCTGCCAGGGGGATGCAGAGGCACATATGTGACTTCCTTTAGGGTCCCAGGGTGCCCAAGACTGGTGACTGCTCCTCACCGGCATGCCTGGACCGGCAGTCAGTCCCTGCTCTTGGCCTCTGCCTGACAGATTGAAGTGACAGAGCTTAAAGCAAAGCACTTCTTCCAGCCCCTACGTCCCTTCTGTGGCTCTTGCCCAGGTCTCAGTTGTCCCCCTGAGATGCACGCACCAAAACCAGCTGCCCTCTTTCACTCTCCAGGGTAAAATCTCCTTCAGGATGCACCGGCCAGTGCAGCCAGAGAGGGTGTCAGCTCCTCCAGCCCCAGCATCCCGTGGGTACCCGGGCTGAAGCTCTTGAGCACTGAGTCCAACTCCAGCTGCTGCTTTCCAGGCTACGAGCCCCCTCCTGTACTAGCCAGACTGAAATGCCCTGGACACCCTGTGGAGGTGCGTGCTGGGGCCATGCGTGTGCCCAAGGATGCAAAAGTGGGGGAAGGATAGCGGCGGGGGGGTGGGAAAGCAGAACTGACAGGCTGTGGGGGACCATCAGCCCCATCCCCTGGATGCACAGCCACAGCATGGAGGGTGCTTCCCTGCCCACGTCCCTCTGCAACATGCCGAGGGGTGTCCTGACCCCCTTTCCTCCTCCTGCGAATTTACCCAGCAAACCACTTTGATGAAATACCCAAAGGCTGCAAGAGGGCTGGTAGCCCTAACCTTCTCTTTGGGAAACCAGAATGTCTGCAGAAATCCCAGCAATGCCTTCCTGGTCCCCAGTGGAGCAGGGGCAGTGCTCCTCCACATGGCTGAGAGATGCTCTTGCCCCAGATTTTCAGCGCCCGTCCGGCCAAATCACGTGGGCTTCTAAATGAAACCCACCGCTTTTGTTTAACATTTGCTGTACTCAGTGATGAAACGATGATGGATTATTTCATTGTGGTTACTACTGTGCCAGACTTCTTTTTCCAAACACACAATAGGAATATTCACTTACTGCTCTGATGACGAACACTTTTATCCTCCTTATATAGTAACAACTCTGCACCAAAGGGCGAGTTTCATTTGTCACTGCTACACTTCACCATCCCGGCTCATGGCCCGCAGTCAGCAGGTTATTCACGGGTGCCCCGAGTTTTTCTGATTTATTATCACCCTTTCCCAACTGATCACATCCTCGCTGCCATCCAGCCACCCCACCCAGAGGGGCACAGCATCATCCGGGGCACTTCAAGAGAGCTGGGGTGACTCTCTGAGGACAAGAGGGGATGCAAATCCAGGGCTGTTCCCTTGGAGGTGAGAGCACAAGATGTAGGACAGGGATGCAATGGGACAACGAGGGGGCCCAGAGTACCAGCGTGAAGGGACTATGCCTTCAAATTCAAAGGTGGTGAACCCAAAGCGGACAAAAGGAAGTGTTTTTTTGTTGTTGTTGGGTTTTTTTGTTTTGTTTTGGTATGGGTTTTTTTTTTTTTTTCACTCCATGCTTAATTAGGCTGCCACAGGAAAATGCTCAGGCCAAAATTTAGCAGGATTCAAGGAGGGATTGGGCATTTATGGGGATAACAAAAATATCCAGCTATAATAGCAGATGCCAACACAAATTCTGGAAGGGACATTAAGCCTCACGCGTCAGTGCGTAAACCTATCCCAAACTCTCAGAAAGTAGGGAGCTTAGTGCAGGGGCAGATGATCCACATATGCTATGGCTACCACCACCGCCTTGTTGCCGGCACAGCCTCATGCTGGCCTTACCATCCCTGGACCCTTGTTTCCTGCTGCTGGCAGCACCTCTGACAAGGGTTGTGAATTTCTCTTGGCAATTCAGCCCTTTGCTTGTAGCTCTCCAGGGCCACGCAGCTCCCAGAGCTCTGCCCTCCTCCATCTCGCCCATTGCCTCACTTCACCAGCCGATAACGGCATTATCTCTCCAATCCAGAGGCAGCCCCTCTGGATAAGGGTCTGTGCAGACCACTGGCACGTCCCTGTGTGGTATGGCATCTTCCGATAGCTTCTTGCTTCCAGCAAAGTCCCTTGGTTTACTCTCAGGTCACTTGTTGCCCAAATGCACCTTTGCCTCCTGATTTCATCCCTCCTGTTCCCTCTTTCTGTTGGGGCCGGTCTCTAGGCTCTGAAAGGGGCTGCTCAGCCCCGGCATCTCATGGGTGCTGCACATACACTGTCACAGCCCCATTTTCATGGGGACTGCTCAGGTGAGCCCTGGGTCATGCCTCATGCCGAGCCTTCCTCACCTACTCTGCATCAGTGCCAATGGCTGTACTGCCCACTCTTGGCCGCAAAGACCCCACCGTCACCCGCAGCCCACACGTGGCCACAAGCCTGGCACGGCTGTAGCCCAGGCTGGGGTGAAACTGCCGTGCTGCGGTGCCCAGGAGCTGGGCACGAGCATCTCCATCCCCACTGAGGATGGTGCCATTGCATCCCACGCTGGTTGTTAACAGGACGCCTGTGCTGCTCCGGTCCCTGTGAGATGGGATGCTCCCAAAACCTTGGCTGCTGTGAAGGATCAGCGGTGTCTCAGCACAACCAGATGAGAGCCTGGAGCTCTCCTGGTTGGGGGCCAGGGTCTCCTGCGCTTGCTGCTTGCGTGCTCACCACCCCACCGAGGGCAACCCTGCTGGGGTCCTTGGATCTACCCTCGCTGCAGAGCCTTGCACCCACAGGGGCTTCCAACTGGAGACATTTCTGGAGGGCATGAATCAGCTTTTCACAGCTTGTTAAAAATCTTGATCCTACCTCTTGTTTTCATGCCTTTCAAATCAGGAAATGAGTTTTACAACTTTTCCAGTGGGGCACAGCTGGTGGCCAGGGTCGTAAAGCTGAACTTTATAAATATCTCTTGTTGGGATCAGGGGAAGAGCATTAAAGAGGCAGAGAGAGAGTGAGAGAAAGAGAAGGGAAAGGAGCAAAGGCAATAGAGAAGCAAGGCAACCTCAGTGAAGAAGCCCAGCTCAACACCGGCCATGGCCATGCGAGCGCAGAAGATGGGGTGTGCTTGGGGCAGGCTTTGCCTGCTGCTCTCCCTCCTCCTCCAGCTGCCGGGCTCCCAGGCCAAATGCTACTTCCAGGCTAAAGGTAAGTGGGGAGGTGAGGTGGGAAAAGGTCGATGGGAAGACGAGGCCTCAGCTTTCCCTGGGGCAGCGGGGCTCTGCCCTGTGCGCCTGTGAAGTGCAGAAGGGACTGTGCTGAGCTCAGGAGCGCGATTGTGGGCCAGTGATGAGTGGAAGGAGCAGTCTATAAATCACAGAACAGCTCCCCAGGGCTCTGGCTGAGAAACAGCTTGCCGGGCCATGAAAAGCTCCTGGCAGGAGCCCGGCTGGGGCCGAGCGTGCAGGACTAGCAGCAAAGGGAGGAGTGCCCGTCTTTCTTCTGCTGCCTCCTTCCAGGACTGCAGAGATGCTCAAACCCCAAGGGGCACTGGATATGCCCTCTCCAGGGAAGCAAGAGCCACGTAGCTCTGCCCTAGGCCCCCAGGGTAGTGGGGAGAGCCACAGGGCACAGCCAGGAGAGGATGGATGGGAGTATCACCCTTGGCAGATGCCTGGGCATTCCATAGCTGCAGGGTAGTGGAGAGGCCACCGAGTATCCTCTATACCATAGGGCAGGTGGGAGGTCGTGATGTCCCCCTTGTCCCCTCTTTCAGGGCATGGGGGTGCCAAGGAGGGACCCACCCGCCCTGGTGCGGGCCCATGTGTGCTCATCACCACTGTTTCCTTTGCAGCTCCCTGCGAGTACGAGGGGAAGCAGTTCTCCCTCGGGGAGTCGTGGCTGAGTACCAACTGCCTGCTCTGCACCTGCCTGCACCCCATCGGCGTGGGCTGCTGCGAGACGTGAGTGAGGGGCTGAGGGGCGCTGGGGGTGGGCTACTGCTGGCGGTGCGGCCCTGCCATAGCACCTCTGTGGCCACAGAGGGGAGGATGTGGTGCGAGTCTGGTGGCTGCAAATGCAGACAAGCAAATACGTTGGAGCCCCAGGGGGGCTGTGGGGTGCCAGGCCCTGGGGGACGAGGGGCAGAAGTGAGCAAGAGCCCACCAGGGTGTTGAGAGTGGTGGGGTGAGTCAGGAAGACAAAGCAGGGGGTGGGGGTGTCTCTGCACAGCGAGACGCCCAGATGTGCCAAAAGCTGCGGCCCAGCCTGCCCGAGCCGGCCTGGGAGACACCCCAGCTGCAGAGGCTGGCAGCAGAGGAAGCTACCCGGCACTGCAAGTGGCTCCTTGGCATGAACCAAGGGGAGCTGACTGTGCCCTGTCCTCTCCCGCAGCACCCAGCACCCCATCGACTTTCCCGACTGGTGTGAGGCCCACTACGACTCACAGACCTGTCAGATCTCAGTGGTGCAGAAGGCCAACCCCAGCCTGCCCTGCGTGAAGAGCATGGAGCATGAGTGGGGCTCAGCCGGCACCCCCGAGCCACTGAGCAACAAGGTGCTGGGCACAGGGCTGAGCAGATAGAGGCTCAGCAGCGCAGCACCCTGTGTCCCCTCGGCATCATCCTCCCTCCTCCAGAGCACACCTCCTGCATGCTCCAGTCCTGCCCCATCCCATAGAGACGTCACTGCCGACACCTTCGAGGGAAACCACTATCCACACACTATGGTACTGAGCTAACATTTACACCTTAGTGCTGCCACGGTACGGCTTTGCTTCTGCCTTCAGCTTCCTGAACCAAACCAGGGCCCTCTCCCTCCGAGTCGCCCTGCACACCATGGGAACGCAGATCCTACGGGATGTCCTCCCAGGTGGGCAGAACCTCCAGCTACTAAAGGAAGGGCTAAGGGACCAAACCAGCCTGCATCGCAGCAGTCTCGTGCTCCTGCATCCAGCCTCAAGCTAAGCAGCTCCCTCCTCCTTCCCAGACCCCCATCCCCCTGCACGGCAGATGCTGGGAGCTCGCTGGGGAGCACCACAGCCCTTCGTGCAGGACTCACGCACCCTGTCCAGCCCCTTCTTTGCCCCGGAGCATGAGGGGCACAACCCACCTCTAGAACCACTAACCCCTGCTCTCACAGCTCCTGGGGCCAGAGAGAGTCCCCGGCACTGCAGGCCAGCCCTGGGCAACACTGCAACGGAGCCAGCGCAGAGCGGTCAGCAGAGCAGGGGGAACCACTAGAAGATGACCCCAGGGGAGGCACCCATCCCAGCTGCAGGGGAGCGGGGCGGGGAGTCGGGTGCCCTGCTGGGGTCCAGGGAGCTGAAGCAATCCGCATGTGCCTGGGTGGAGCCGGTTGCCAGCCGGTGCCATGCCTGTGTTGTGCAGAACCTTGTCTAGATGTTTCTGTTCTTGCAATAAAGATATTAAACAAAGAGGAGGTCTCCAGCCTGTGACTGCTGTGCAGGGTGGGCTGCGCCCATCACCGGGAATGGTGTAGAAATCAGGCTCTTGGGAAGGCCGAGTTTTGCACATTCATAAGTTTATTAGATTTCCATGCAAAGAGGTAAACTCTTTGGAAGGTCTGGTAGAAATGGGGAGCTGTTTTTTGAGCAGGGAGACCTTCATCCCAGCTCCAGAATGCACAGCATGCATTCACTCCAGCTGTCTAAGGATCCCGAGACCAGCAGGATGCCTTCGTGCCCAGAACCGCAGGCAGAGAACAGCCCAGTGCTCAGTGTTTCTCCGTTTTGGATTATCACTATGGTGCTGTCACAGCACGTGCCGGCAGCGCAGGGCTGGCCTGCCAGGACCTGACTCCGCTGGGCGAGGGCAGCAGGGGTGCTGGGCTGTGCACAGAGACACCCCTCACAAGAGGCAGGATGCACGCCAGGGCAGGCAGGCAGGCTCACACCCAGCCCAGGCCAGTGTACCTCACCTAGACAGCAGACCTCTACTTGTGGGGTCTCTCTGTAGCAGCACAGCCTTCACCCCCGGCTGGTACGGGGCTTCACTGCAAGAGCTCCCCTCTCCTTTCCCTGGGCTGGGCCCTTCCCTCTTGGAAGCCCCTCATAGGGTAAAGGCACGTAGGGCCGCGCCCTGGGATGGAGATTATTTTTGGTGAGGGCTGGGACTCACACCTTCATCCAGGCAGGAAGGATCCAGCTCCCAGCCAAAGGCCGCAGCACAAGACACCGCAGCAAGCACAGTGCTCTTCCACCCAGAGGCAGGACAGATTTGCTGCTGCCCACCCGGGCGTTGTAGGCAAACTCGAG